ATTCCTTGACTCTCCTGTTAAGGTTGTAGCTATAGTTGTGCGTGTGCCCTGTTCTAGATGTCAACCTTAAAAATACCTTTCAGTTAGAGAAAGTCCAGAGGAACAAAAATACTTTGGAGATTGATGAGGGCTAAGTCAGCCCTTACGGTGGTGCGTGTGGCTGCTGGCTGTGCTGCGGGGAGTTACTCCTGTGTTACTTGTTGAAACTTCTTCCTGGAACAGGGGATGTAGGCTTGGCCCAATTGATACTTTGTGTCCTGGAATACTGGAAACTTCTCTTAAATGGTACAAATTGAACTTCAGAGGATACTGAGCAGAGATGTGATGTTGTTAAATATGTAGAAGGCTGTTGGAAAAAAGGGAACAAATTACTCTGTCTACTAGGGATAGAACAAAGACCTTTTAAGTTGCAGCAGGAGGATTTATGGCAACTTTCTAATGACAAGGATAGTCAAGCTCTAAATGGACCTTACTTGGTCCATATAGTTACCAATGCACACCTGCAAATCTGACTGGGAAGGGTTTATCCTGCCTGGAAGCAGGACTCTGGAAATGCAGGGTGCTTTCTTTCACCCCATCAAAGGAACCCAGCTTCCCTCCAGGGCACCAGCTGGTTTTGGCTAAGGGGATGAGGAGCAGGACTATGTAACCGCAGGGAAAAAACCATCCCCCTTGTACCCTATGAACATCTTAGTGCAGAGAGAGGGTTAAACATACACATACAGGGACTAGAGTCGGATTATCCTGTGGAGAGAGTGTAAACAGGTTAAATACCTCTTGGTCAATACATCACTGATGGTTTCAGAGATGAGAACATACACTGATTTGTTACGCTTCTCCCTGAGGAATGTCATGAAGACACTAGCTCAGGGCTGCCAAAAAGCACCACCCGGCGTTGCAAGTTCCCCTATGCCATCCCTTCCCTGCTACCCTACCCCTCATGCGCTACAGCCATCCACGGGCAACTTCATTGCAGCTCATACGGATGAACCCTACCTCCAAATTCGCCGGGCAGTCCTCCCTCCGCCGCCCCGGGCCCGCGCTCTCCCCTCGCCCACCGAGGCGCCGTGGTTGCCCCTCGCGCCCGCCCTCGGCGGGGCGGCGCGCCCCCCCCCGCCCCGCGCCCCCCGGCAGC